CAGCGAGCAGTGGATTTACTCATTATTGAGTTTGAAACATTGAGATGTGCTTTGTGGGTGTTAGGAAGTACATATTTCTTTGACAGCACTTTTTATCAGCCATCCAAAAAGACATAAGAAAGACATTGAAACCATGCAAAGAAGCCCTGAACTTTTGTTTTTGTTACTGTGTAATATTTTAGGATTGTTTCAAGTTTGGATTTCAAGGTTCTCTTTACAAACAACTGCAGAATGCAAAACTAAAGGGTTTGTTTCCCATTCGCATTTGCTGCATCAACAAAGTACTGCTTTTAGGCCTTAAGTATACAATGTTATGCATCGTTTCCAATAGATTCCATAATCTGTACAGAGGACTTTATATGTGTAACAGTGACACACTTTCCCCCTCCTGCCTTTGATGTCCCTATGTCTCGCAGGCTTTAATCCTCCACTTTTATCTCTGCAGCTGAGATTTGTACCTGTTTATATTTTGCTGTTTGCTGGACGCCTTTGCGCACAATTTACATAGAAAGCAAGATTTGTTGGTCCAGTTCCGATAGGGGCTCTTGCTTATGAAAGCAATGAAAATGGCGCAGTATTCGGCTGTGAGTTCTGCAGAGTAGAAGCACCGTGAACACTGTCACGCTAAGTACCTCAAAGCTCCATGTCTAAGGATCATTTGAAGTCAAAAATTCCCAATGGCCCGCACCGTTTTTCAATGCAGAGGTCATTTTTGATGCCAGATCTAAGAACAGCATAACCGAGGGGGACACACAGATGAATAGACACAATTTCAGGCTGAATAAGAAGCTTTTGAAGGGGCTCATGAGGGATTACTTGGTATACAAAGACATACTCGGCATACAACAGGAAGCACTGGAGCGCAGCTCAGCAGTTCTCTTGTCTTGTTTTCTATTTATTCATTAAATGACCCTTATTACGCTTTTTGACTTTTCTCTGGTTTAAACATGATTACAGTGCTATTTGGCCTTCATACAGATGCCCAGAGTATTTTTTCATTGATTCCCCCAAGCTTTAGAGCAACCTTTCTTTTTCATTCTCAAGAGGCACAGAATCGGCCCGCCTCCAAGAGCTGATCTACAAAACCTGGTCTTATTCCCAACATAAAAGACGCTAACAGGAGCTTCGGTCTGTGAGTACAATGCAACTAATTCGCCGTATTCTGGGTGGAGGACATAGGGCTCTATGTGACGGATCGCCATTGTTGGAAAAAGTTTATTCTGGGGTGTGAAATGACTGCAACAAGCTGTACAGTTAGCTCTTATTAACCTCGAACTTAGGGTAATGCTACGTCACCTGGCGGGCGGTTGGAGGCGGGCTAACAGGCAGAACAGCACAGATCCAAGCGTTTCGCATGAGTTGACAAATTATTATACTCATTTTATCGCTGGTTTTGTTGTTAAATATTTGAGAATCATAACAAGACCTTTTTTAGTTTTGTAGCCACATGTTACTATACCAATTAGATTAACTCGATGCGAGTTCTGGCTACTCGGATTCTGGGACATCGAAATGAAAACAATAACAACATTTAGGGGCTTTAAAAATAAAATTGTAATTAAAAAATCTCGGCTATACTACTGCTATCAGTTAAAGAAGTGTTTGAAACAAACAGGGTTTATTAATGCCTTTTGTCATATCAGGGCCATTTAATGATGACTTGACATTGAAATCTTACATATTGCTACTTTAAAAAAAAAAACTAATCTGCACGCACAGCCTTTGCCAGTGTATGGACCTGCTGCCACAGAATATGCTCACTTCTACAGAACATGCCGTTTTTCTGCAATTGAAAGCGGCTAAAAGTGTTAGCATCATGTCAACTTGGAGAACATTTGTTTTTGGATGTAACTATTTGAATTTGACCCGAAGACAAAGTATGCACGAGTATAGCTGGACTTCCTATTCACGGGATCTGTCTTTGAAATCCACGCCAGTCACAGACTGCTTGTTTACTGTGAGACTGGACTTACTTTATAAACCTGAGTTTATTCTCAGGTCTGAAATGATTATGCACCGGTGAAAGCTAAATAGTTGAGTGCTTTTAATATTTACAGTCTAAGATTGTAAATATGTAAATATGTTTTATGGTGTAAAATTATTATTACACATGTGCTTAGGATGGACTGAAAATTAGGAAAAGTGAAACATAGTATCTTTATAATAATGTATGCTCTAAAGCTGGCCTTCTCAAATTATAGGGTGGGCCCGAGACCGTTCCATGTTCCATGTTCCATGCCAGAGGTGGGCACCTGGCCACAGGGAACATGCCCTTTTTGCTGTACATACCACAAATACATATAGGATTCCACATGCTCTGTCTCTGTTGTCTCTGTCGAAGCAATTGTTGATGCTTTGTAAAGAAGGACAGCAGTTCCCCATCACCACTCAGGTCTGCCCCAGATCCACCACTCCAACGGCCTTTGAAAGTTTGCTCGGATCTTGTCCGCCTGCATCTTGCTCAGGCGAATTAAACTGGGTGAGGTGAGTTATGCACATCCCTGATGCGTTGGATTTGTGCTGGGCATGAACAAACAGGCACGAGCTGAAAGTACCATCTGTTGAAATAGAAGGTCAGCTCCATCAGCTCTGTGTGAAGTTCTTTGTGAGTTAAAGTTAAAGAGGTTTAGTTCTGTTTAGGAGGTACCACCTGCGTTTCCCTTTACACTCTCAAACAACTCAACAAATGAAGCCCATATAAGTTTTCTGGTGAATGAGCTCCCAGCTGCTTACCCCAACTGAAAAGGTGGCACAGGGGAAGAAAAATGCACTTCCTGAAAGTAAAGTGAATTATGAAATTGAGAATCAAATAAAGAATTTTACAATTCAGTATAAGAACCATACCCTTTTTTTTTCCTTTTCTTTAAATTCACGCAATAAAAGACAAAAAAGAACTGTACTTCTCGGGTGTTTGTATACACTTTTGAAAATAAAATAGACTTTGCACATGAACAGATTGCAGCTGAATGCAAGCAGCAGGTTTTCATGTTGTGGAAGTTACATGTAATTGAAAATGGCACAAGGAGCTCTGAGGACACTAACATTTAATAGTTAATATTGAATTAAATGCCTACAATCTTGTATTTTTTCACTCAGAAGCTATGCTAATGCTCATGGTGCTATGAGCATTGGGTGGCTAACCCAACACAAAACGAGTACAGAATACATGTTGAAAAATGTCCTGGATCATCACCACAGTCCTTTTTGTTGGACAGTAACTGTCCAACGGACCCTCCTGCATCGGCAAAGAAAAACTAATAAGAAAAAAGTAGCAAAGTAGCAAGAGGCAAAAGTAGTGCTATACAATAAAGTAAAGCAAGTAAAAATAAAGTAAAATACAACCATAAAAAACTCAAGACTAGCATTCACTTATATTACTTATTATAACTTTAATAAATATTTTATTTTGATATATTTTGTCTATCAGACACGAGTGTGGCAACAGTAGCTCAGTTGGTACTGAAGTCTTTGTGTCTCTGGGCAAGACACTTAACCCTGTACTGCCTGAGGCCCCACTAAAAGACCAAGACTGTGTTGTTGTTGACGAAGCAGCCATCCTTCTATGAACTCACCACCTGCTGGAGTATCTTTGAGGGGCTGGTGCTCTGAGCATTGGGTGGCAGCTCTGATTGCCACCCAACCGACCCAGATATGGACTAATACAATGTAAGATAGTGAACGAGTAAATGAATGTTTCATGGTTCAGGTTTATTTTCTGTTTTATTTTGTAATTTGTTACTTCCTGTGTCTTTAGTTGTACTTCCTGTTGTCTGATTACATACCCTGCCCTGATGTGTGTCTCATTAGTCTTGTGTATTTAAACCCTGTGTGTTCCTTCACTCCCTGTTCCGTCAGTGTCATTCCACGTCTGTTTCAGTTCTGTCCTCGGTCCCAATGTTTTCTCTGAGATGGGAGCGGGGTCGCCAATACAGGAGGCGTATGCCAGACGTATTGTACATGTTTTTAGTGGTAGGGGAAACCACAGTACCTGGAGGAAACCTACGCAGACACAGGGAGAACATGCAAACTCAACTCAGAAAGGCCCTGTTCCAACCGGGATTCGAACCCAGGACCTTATTGCTGAGAAGTGAGAGTGCTATCCACTCAGCCATTCTCAAGATATACACATTATTACTTTGCCGTCTTCCGAGGGAGGGATTTTTAGATTTTTAGAAGTGGCAGTGGCCACCCTGGCTACCCCTCTGGTTCCGCCACTGGTCTGGTGATACATGATTTACTGTACTGTAGCGAGAGTACGTTGCGTTTCAAAAGAGAAAACAGATGTAACTCAGTTTCAATGGAAAATATATTCCAACATTCATTTACAGTGATGTCTGCCGTTCATGACACATAATGTGAACTAATTCATGTTCAAGTTCTTTATTAAAATATTTGTTGCGTTCAGTTCAACGTTCACAAAAAAATGAGCGTGTTCAATGAACGCATTCTATTGAACTCGTTCACGCACAAGACTGTAATACTGTAACCTCACTGATCTTGTTCTCCAGATACAGCAGCCTTAGACAGCCCAGATTAACACTGACATGCAAGGAATCACAAGTGTATATCGAGCACAAACATGTGGACTCACTATAGTTTCTATTTTTTTAAATTGTGGGACCTGCCCTGAACACTTCCCAGGGAAGCAGCCAGGAGACCCTAGCAAACTCAACTGGCTCCTTTTAGTCAAATCAAGGATCACGTGTATACATATTGGAGCATATGTTTCAACAGAAATAAGTAAGAAAAATTCAAGGTTCTCTGACATGAGACACAGATCAGCCTGAAGAGGAGAGAAAGGAATCCTGGAGAAAAGTAAAGCAGCGAATAACTTGCAACATCCTTGAGGGCACAGTATACCTTCAGAATAAAAGGCGAAAAAACCATATTCTTTGTCTCTGGTTTCTACTTGAATGAGAGTTCAAAGCAATGCAAATGCACTGAATAAAACAGAGGCAAAGGATGTCCCAGGGTATACAGCATGACGGAGCACATGGTTGTCATGGAGAGGTGAACGGGAGGCTGAACATGGAAGCAGAGGACGGGACATGGGACGACACATGCTTTGTGTAAGAGTAGATTACTGACTGTCCAGGGAAACGTGACAGCTGGTAAAGACAGGGGAAAAAAAAGCCCACAACAGAGACTAGGCTGGATTTGCTTTTTCATGTGAACTAAGTATTTTTCTTCTTAAAACCGCAGAAAAGAGGAACGTTTTGAAAGCTGGACTAGATGGAAAGCCGTATGCTCTTGGTTAAAAAAACATTAGATTCTTTGTGACAATGTGAATGCAATGCAGTGTTTGGGTGTGAAATTGGTTTACCACAGTGGGGCAGAGGCAATTAACAGTAGCAGGCAGGTAGACATACATTTAATCTGCTGGAGGTCTTGACTAAGGTTCCACAGAGTGCGCCAGGTCAGTACACTTTGGGGCGAGGAGTCTGATCTCCTCCAACAACATCTCTAAGGAAAAGAAACTATGGAACACACTCAGATTTGTGTATGTAATATATTATTATATTAATTGTATTATATTATCATCACTTTTTACTGCACATCCTACGCAAACTACATTTTTAACCTTTAAAGAAGCATTATGTAATATTTGCATGTCAAGTCATCATTAAATGGCCACAATAATTCAAAAGGCGTTATTAAATCATGCTCTTTTCGAATACATCTTTAACTGATAACAGTAGATCAGCCGAGATACTTGAAAATCAAATTAGTTTTACGACCCGTAAAAGTTGTTATTGTTTTCATTTCAATGTCCCACCCTCCGCCGTTTCACCAGTCAGAAAGTCCGAGATCCGGGTTGCCAAAACTCCCCACAGCTAGCTAAAATAACATGTGGCCGTAGAACTAAAAAAGGTCTTGTTATGATTCTCAAATCATTAATGCCAAAACAAAAACGAGGATTTATATCGGGACGCCTTTGAAAAATTGAGACAGAGGATAAAAACGTTTAGTGTTATGCAAAACTTGCTGCTTTGAGTGCGTTCTTCATTGACACTTAACGTACCTGCCTCGATTCATTTATTGTATTGTATGTATTGTATGCAATGGTGGTCTAATGGTTAAGGCATAACGCTATCACCCCAGAGACCGGGGTGCAAGTCCGGGAGCTTTCTGTTTGTATTTAATTATATAATATCACATTCTATGTGAATGCTCAAAAAACGGTTAAAGACAAAAATCAAGACGTTTTTTTGCAGATTACAGCTTGTAAAAAGAAGATTATAGATTGTAAAAAGAATCATTGGAAACCACATGTACCCCAATTAAAATAATGTTAGTCTCTTTTTGATGTGGGACTTATACATTTATGTTTAAAAAATAGGAATAAATAAAATTGAAAGGTGATATCCTCTGGAGCAAACCCTGATGTTGATACACTGAAGAAATATGTTCCAACATCCATTCTTCCCACTTCTATTCACATCAATTGCTTATTTATTTTGCAAAATTAGTGTATAATTACATTGCTTTTATTTTGTTTGTTTTTTTCATCTCAAATGTCCAAATAAAAAAAACATTCATTCAAAACATTCATTCAACAGTTGCATGCCTCATGGCAATATGAATAGAGACAGTCAAACAACCGATAAAATAATTCCTTGTGTTTGCTGCTGGATTTGGTGTGTATCTGGCAACCTGAGTCAGGGAGAGTGGGAGAGGACTACAAAATATTGACTGTAACTGCAGTACCAATTTTGGCCAGATTTGTACTTAATGCTCCTTTAACATGTTTGCACGCTTCTGTCTTTTTGAGCAATCTGAGTAATTCTATCTATGCCAAATGTGACATGTAAATTTCTCCATTGTGAGATCCATAAAGTTTATCTTATCTTATCTTATTATAGTATCCATCCATCCATTTTCTACCCTTTAATCCATTTCTGGGTCAGGGGGGTGGCAATCAGAGATGCCACCCAAGTCTCATAGCACCAGCCCCTCACTGACCCTCTGCAGGTGGTGAGTCCACAGGAGGACGGCTGCTCTCTTGAGTGTGAGCATAGCCTTGATCTTTCAGTGGGGGCTTTGGGCAAAGTGGGGTTAAGTGTCTTGCCCAAGGACACAACGACAGCAGTCATCAGTGGGAGCCGGTGGAGAAGGTGCAGAGGTGGGAATTGAACCCACGACCTTCTGGCCTTAAGGCCAATGCTCTACCAACTGAGCTACTGTCGCCACCCTTATTATAATAATCATAATATATTACAATAAATACAGTCATTAATAATATTATTTTACAGAACCAAATTCATGTTTAATTGATTAAACAGCGATGGCTGAACATTTGGTCCTCTTAATGCAGCTCAACTTCACCCAGACCCACCCTCACACAGCCCATAGATGAATAGTTTGCTCTGGATCAAAGCTGTTGTGAGTCGCAAAGCTTACAACAGCTGCAGCCTATAATCCCATAGTCTAGCTTTGTTCACGTAATCTCAGAAATTTAGAAAGCCTGACTTCCAACTCTTAGAAAAAAATTGTTTGAACGCTGCTCCACTCGGAAATGTGGTATGGCTTCAGAATTCCCATGTTTTTTATACTGTGACGTGTGTCAGATTGTAATTATTGTGATTTATATTGTGGATAGGGGGGTTTGTTTTATACCACACTCATGGTTTGCATTAATCTTAAACCAACTGTGAATTATGATTCATGATTTATGAGTAGAATAAATCTAAGATTGTATATAGATGAGCACATTTATTATAAGAAACACCATATTTTCTCCTGTATTCTTTTTAATCATAGCATTGAAGGTTTCTGTTTCTGTTGTTCAGCTGCCCTCTGAAGTCAGAGTAAGACATTTTCTGCTGATTGATCATAAAATGTACAAATGTTTTGTATACATTAGTAGTTTACAAAACATTTGTAAACTACTAATTTTACCTTTTTCTTATAGGGAACTCTGGCCGTCTCTGCTGAGCTGTTACTGAATTCATTCCCCCCGTAGTGGAACAGTCCTATCTGTAAAAATATAATAACATAATAATTAGTGGGTTATTTAGTGAAATGATAACTAAATATGAACTCATAATTTGTTCATGAATGAATAGTTCTATAAAGTGTTACCATTGTGTTTCTTGAGAACGCACACAGCATCACAGAACATCTGCAAACCTCCGTAAGACTCTACGGGTCCTCCGAAACGAGGACCGCTTGGGACTTTGGCCCCGGGAGCCTCTGGATCCTCTGGAGCAACTGGAGCCTCGGGAGCCTTTGGATCCACTGTAGCCTCAGTTGTCCATATTGAACAATTAAAGTTCAATATGGAACACTATGGAACAATTGCAGTGCACATTTTTTATTATTCCTAACCAAATGAATGTAATTGACAAAAAATGATGAATCTTTGGTACCTTTGCTTTCATGCTCTCAATGAGATTGTGGTCTTTCATTATCTTCACAGCCACATTCTGGTTCCTATCCAGGGCCTGGCACTTGGTGACATGGACGTAGTAAGAACTGGTCCTACCCCGGAGGGTGTGACCGATGGTGACCTCAAAGCAGTGTTCAGGTGCTGGGGGCGAGAAAAAGGCTCCATCAGTTTCAGTCTATACAGTACATACAGTATATACAAGTTACAATTACTAAAATATACACATCTATGACTCCTGCTACAACAACTACTGCAAATATTATACCATTCTAAAGTAAGTTTTCCACTAATCTATGTTGGATATATATCACAGTACTGCAACTAAAGATAGCTACCAGTCTTGACATCTCTTTGTCACTGCGGTCGATGAATACTTAAACTATTCTCTGATTATAAATATTTCTCTCACTTATGTTTCTGACTCAAGTGTATATTCTTTGCTGTCTCCAAGTGCAGTTTCGTGATTGCATAGTAGTATTGATCAGTGAAAAACAATACTTTTCAAATGGGTTTATAGACGGGAAAATGTATTTTCTCACTCATGATTTTTCTTCTGATTCATGATATATTCATAGATATTGTGCCTGTACAGAAACTGGTACAGAAACTGCTGGTTGTTTTTACAGTGAATACAATGTATTTATTTTTTCATCTGAAACAAAGGCTGCGGTCACAAGCACAACCTAAAGCCAACCGCACACTTTTCATTCTTTTTTTCTCATTCATTCATTTCTCAGGCTCAGGTTGTTTAATCTAAGGCGTTCTCCCGTGTCCGCTGCGTGCCCGCACACACTCACACGTCACCCACTATGCTGCTGCACATTGGAGAAAGACACATTTCACACATTGACTCTGATTGCAAAGAACGTGAGCCATGCTTGAGCTCTTAGCGAAACCAAAGCGGGCCCATTTACACTAGCTACTTTCTCCTTTTCAGAACAAAAACATTAGCAAACAAAGCTGCTTGAGCTCATTAAAGCTGCACTAACTGACTTTATTTTTGTATTCATTACAAAAGTGCAATCCATGTACATGTAGTGCATTGGAATATACGTCCTTTTGAAGAAAAAGTAGCGCAGATTTGTGCTGGCGTGACATTATATTTTAGATCGAGTTTTGATGAAACAAGGAAGAGAATGTGTTTCGGGTCTCAGATTGTGACCAATCACAGCGGACCACTAGCCCCCACTTTCGTGAGAAATCTACAGGTCCGTTAGCATAGACGGCTGAGTTAGCACAACAAGCGGCTGAGCTAACCTGAAGCTTGTGTCTTCGTCACCGGTTACTGCTTACACAGCGGGACAGCCATCCGAAAGAAAGTCCTGTTCCTCCGCGCTTCCCGGTTTTATCCTTCTATGGTCACGCCATCCACGTGCAAATCCACATCCATGTATTATCCATATTGGGAGACGCTAGCTCCGTCAACAACAGTGGGTGTGTGTGGGGGGCGATAGCTTCGTGGGTGCGGGGAGGGGAGCAGAAAGAGAGAGGCCAGCGAGTCCGCAGCTTCAAAATCAGTTAGTGCAGCTTTAAATGTGTTTCTAGGTGTGGGTTTATGTGACAGTTCTATAGACTCATTGTTTCATTACTATTTTAACGTGATGCTGTGAATAAAGACACAGATCTTGATGGGAACATAGTTATTATTAAATCATGTTTTTGCACAAACAGCAAAACAATAAGTGGTAAATATCTGAGACAAACATGAACTATTTACAAGGGCAGGAGGAATGCTACAGCTGCAATAAACTACACAGATTCAAACAAAGACAGGCGCAGGAACAGTGCAAAACAAACGACTGTACAGTTTATACGTTGGATATGCAACAGAACTCCAGTCCACAGTCTCTGCGTATATCAGGCTCTATCATGAGCCCAAATTGCTTTTCGTTCGGTTCCTTGGAAGCATGAAGTAGTCTGCTCCAAAGTGCCTCGTCCATGCTCCCCGCAGCCGCTCCATGCTTCCGTCCAAAACATACACAAACACACACGCACAAGGACCAATCATTACAGAGCTTCTCTTTGCAGCGCCGGCTGCGTAGTTAGACAATTTCGAAGGAGCAGGGGTGGCTACGCAAGGGTTTTGCGGTGATCGTTGTGTTGGTCTAGTGACGTCATGTCACCACCATAAGCTCCGCGACGCGCGACTAGACACTAGGCTTTATGGTTACAGTGTTTGTTCAGCGAGTGTCTATTATATGTTACTATCTGCTGCGTTACTCTCTAAGATGCCATACTTGTTGTAATGGTCAAAGTTAGTCAGAATATATATTGCTCAAACTCTTATGGATCTCAGCAGAAGTGGGGATAAACAGTACTGGTTGTAACTAAGAGGCCGAAGCATTCAAGTACACATTCTATATGCATACATCTGCATATGCTCTAATCTGTAAAGTGGCTATAGTGTGAAGAATGAAGAGGTTTTTTTTAAGGTTGGGGACACTATAGACAGACTCCGAGAATACATTAATAATAATACTAATACATTTTATTTCTTAGGCGCCTTTCTTGACACTCAAGGTCGCCTTTCACACAAGTAAAAAAGTGTATTTTAAAAACAGTTAAAATACAAAATTAGGAGCATTATGGACAGAGGAGAGTGAGGTTATGATGTTAGTGAGTAGGCTTGTCTAAACAGATGAGTTTTGAGGGAAGATTTGAAGAGTGTGAGTGAGTCAGTGTTACAGAGCTCAGGCGAGAGAGTGTTCCAGAGCTGGGGAGCAGAGCGGCTGAAGGCTCTACTCCCAATGGAGACCAGCCGGGCAGGAGGGACCAGGAGCTGGAGAGAGGAGGAGGAGCGGAGGGAGCGGGCAGGTGTGCCTATCTGGAGGAGGTCAGTCTGGTGTGGAGGAGCAAGGTTGTGGATGGCTTTGTATGTGAGGAGCAGGATTTTGTATTGGATGCGGTGAGTTATGGGGAGCCAGGGGAGCTGTTGGAGGATAGGGCTGATGTGGTTGATGGAGAGGGTGTGTGTGATGAGACGGGTGGCTGTGTGGTGACCATTTGGAGTTTATGGAGGTTTTTTTTGACCGAACAGGAGGGACTTACAGGAGTTGACGAGGCTGTGTATGAGTATGGCAGTGGAGTGAGGGGAGAGAGAAGGGCGTATTCGGCATATATTTTTGAGATGGAAGTAGGTGATGCTGGTGATGCCATTGATGTGTGTGGTGAATGATAGGGTGCTGTCGAGGATAACACCCAGACTCTTTACCTGAGGAGAGGGGGAAATGCAGGAGCCGCAATGGAGATAGAAAATGTTTTGGTTTTATTAAGGGTGGCTTTGGTGCCGATAAGGAGGAGTTCAGTTTGTATTGTAAGTTTTATGAAGTTTGCAGTGAACCAGGACTTTATTACTTCGAGGCAGTTAGTGAGAGAGGAGGTTGGGAGTGTGGAATCTGGTTTGCTGGAGATGTAGAAATGGGTGTCGTCCGCGTAGCAGTGGATGTTTCGGTAAATGTGACCAAGAGGGAGAAGGTAGATTAGGAAAAGCAAGGGGCCGAAGACAGAACCCTGTGGAACACCAGTAGATATCTATCAGTAGTAGATATCTACTGATACTGTAGATATCTACTGATATCTACAGTATCAGTAGATAGAGAGGTTTTTATTATGTTTGTGGTTAGAGGGGAAAGTGCAGGAGTGGAGGCTTTAACAAGGACGGTTGGGAGAGGGTCAAGTTGACAGTAGGAGGATTTGGATTTTTGGATGTAGGTGGAGATTTGGTTGACAGATAGGGAGGAAAAGTAAGAAAAGAGGTGGGTTGAGCTGGGAAGAATGGAGCAGGAGCATTGGGAGAAGATGGAGTGAGTTGCTGGTGGATGTACTGGATTTTGGAGGTGAAAAATAATGCCAGGGTATTGCAAGAATCAGATGAATAGAGATGAGAGGGAAGAGAATCTGGAGGTTTTGTGATGGATGAAAGTTACCTTCATTTGAGCTGATTGATTCATATCATTTTTTTGTTTCCTCTTAGTCTTTAAAGGTCCTATATCAAGCTTTTCTTCATGTTTCACACTCAATCCTATACACATGTGTGATATTAATGTGTATGATACACCACACAACAATCAAAGCTTGTGAGATTAGAGCCATCTCTTGTATAGAGGTGACGTCACCTCGACTCAAACGAGCTGATCCAGAGAAGAGTCTGCTCCTCTGCCTGTGAGCCCGCCTCCCCCCGCCCGCACGGTGACGTAGCATCACGCTTTTGTATCACCTTTTATCACCTGTACTTAGTAATTTCATACATAAGAATAAACTTTTTCCAACAATGACAATCCGTCACATCGAGCCTCGATGCACAATCAGACCCTAGTTATTTAGTTTACAGAAGTATACAGCGAGTTAGCGTCACTACTTACAGATCGAGGGGGTCCGAGTTACGTCTTTTACTGTGGGAATAACGTGTTTCCAGATCAGCTTTTGAGTAAGTCCAGTTCCATTGTCCCTGTAGTTCTGCAACAGTCTCAGTGAAGTGTCGCAGATGAACCGGTATTATAATAGATCGATGAGATGAACAGATGAAAAAAGTCGAGCTGCTTTCTTCCTCTTAGGGCCAAATAGTGTGTCACATATTTACACCCATAACACACTTCATTCAAGTTGACGTGATCCTAACACTTTTAGTTGCTGACAAAAGCAGAAAAACAGCCTGTGCGCTTTGATTCGCTGTTTTGATCACCTCCCGCCGGCTTTTAATTTATTTTTATTTTTATTATTTTTGACAAAAAACAGCATACTAATTGTGTATTGTTTACCCGTTTTGACAAAAGTATTTAACAACTATTTTAAATACAAAGCAAACGGGGTCATGCGCGTCATCAGTGTGGTTTTCGTCACTGAAGTGGACCCGAGCGTTTCTGTGCCTCACGCTGGGGAAGGAGACAGATTGCTCTCTTACAAAAGATTGACAGAATCAATGAATAAACTACTGTGGGCTTGTGTATGAAGGCCAAATAGCATTGTAATCATGTTTAAAGCAGAGAAAAGTCAAAAACCGTGATATGGGCCCTTTAACAATGGCATGTACTGTATCTCTAAATGTAATAGGCTGTGTAAATTAGGTGCAGAGAGTTCCCAAATGCCATGAACATTAGCAGTTTTAAAGTTAGTTACATCCTACAGTCACCCTCCCTGTACAGGGAGGATTCAGTTATTTTTCATTTAACAGCATCAGTATTAGAATTCACTTGTGTCAATATAGTCAAGCTATATCTCTTTTGAAAGCTTATTCCCACCTCTATACACGTATTCTCGAGGTCGGCGTTACGTCACGAATCATGTGACCTGCGTAGCAACCAACCGCCGCCATGTTTGAAGGGTAAAACAAACCGAAGGCGAATCCAAAAGGTATCTATTTACATATGTTTTGCCGTGGATTATGTCAGTTATGGATACTAACGGACAACTTTGAATTATTGATGAATGATATCTGTGTATGCGAATGTATGTTGGTGGTGTAAACATTCAGGGCTTGCTTAGCTGGAGGCAGGAATCTAAATTCCTATCTATTTCCATTGTAGCTGTTGTCATAGTAACAATAAAGAAATGTCTAACTGTTGTTGGAAATATCAGATAAACCTTATTTTATTAACGCAAATGTCATTCCTCTTGTTCTTGCACCTTAAGCCACAACAGGACCACCTTTTTCAGTTGTAGTTTTACACTTATAATCGCCAGTTTTAGTTTACATTCACTCCATACATGTGAGATTAAACACTCATGTAAAGCGCTTTGTGACTAGCTACATGTCTGTGAAAGGCACTATATGAATACAGATCTTCTTCTTCTATTGCAGCATGTCATATCAGTATATTGACAGTCTCCTAGCGCCTGCATTGACCAGGTACCACTAGCCTGGTTTTACCATACCCTCGTACTTGTTTCGTACAGAGGGTACATCCCGGGAAAAAAAGATTTGACCGGAGTTTACGGATGGCAAAGGCCAGGCTAAGGTACCACAGAAAGCTGTCGCTTGTAGGTTTACAATCTTGTCCCTATCGGCATCCAGCAGAGTCCTGGGAAAACAACCCAAAGGCATGGCCCAGGCTCGAGTATCCAGACATATACAATTACCTCATCAAGTCCCCTGGTATGAACACCATGTGTACATACCATGTGTCCTACACTTGTAGTAATATTTAAATACCCATCAAGCATCGATAACATTAACTATGTTATGACATTCAAAAGCATTCTGTTACAATGTGGCTGTAATGAGCTCAGTCTGTCAGTGGCACAGCTTGTACAGTGTAAGTGAGGGACACAGTTTTTTTCAAAAGCCAAAAAAGGCTAACTGCAGAAATTCCACTTATTCCCCACACAACTAGTGCATTTCATTGTTGCTTATCGGTGTAGAGCTGCCGACCATTATGCATAGCGATGTCATAACATAGCAACAGAAAACAGTGGCATGGCATTGGTATTATTTTGTTATTCTTTGATTTGCCCCTCAATGTGTCCATTCATTTGAGATTACATTTCTATTTAAATTTTAAAGTAAAATGGCATACCCTCTATTCACACTTTTTATGACCGGTTATTTTTTGCAATAACCAGTCATCAGATTACATTTTATTATATTATATATGTAGTGTCTAACGACAACAGCAAGACTTTAACATTTCTAATGAGAAATAGTTTATTAGACATTGTATAAGTAGAAATACTAAAAGACGTGAAGATTGACATGAAAACATTTGTATCATTTACTTGCAATTTGTCAGTGTTTTTGCTCTGGTCAATTGTCACTCTCCTAGATGTGATATGTTAATGTATAAAAATAAAATTATTTCCCTTTCTTCATTTTCTTTTGTTTCAGGTGTATTTAGTATTATGATGGTGGAGACCGAATCATTGCTGATTTTGTCAATGCCTAATTCCGTCTGCTGCAGGTCTTGCATTTCCATGCAGGGTGTTGACACTTCTTGTTGCAACTCTTCTGGGACACTTGTCTCCTCAAATTCCAGTTGCTTCTTCACCTTCCTTTCCTTTCGTGATACTAGAGTAGTGGATGGTGCTGAAAAAAATAGATAAAAGGTATATATTTTGCAAATGATCACAGAAATTTTAAGTCATGGCCTCATATTTATAATAATAATAATAATGCATCAGTTTTATGTAGTGCTTTTCTGGACACTCAAAGACGCTTAACATTGCACTATTCATTCACTCCATACTTGGTGGTGGTAAGCAACTATTATAGCCACAGCTGCCCTGGGGTAGACTGACTGAAGCGAGGCGACCAGTCTGCGCCATCGGCCCCTCCGACCACCACCAACCACTCACTCACTCGGCTTCCTGGTGTTACTAAACGGCAGTATATTTAGTATTGAGTTGGATTGGGACGATAAGTCATAATAGTCGACTATGACTAGAAAGCAGCGACCAGTAGACTAGTTTTGTACTATAAATACCATCTTACCAAGAATTTCCAGGCTAGGCATTATGTACAAAAATCTGCATGACTAGTTACTTTGTAGATGCAATGACTTTTTCATACAGGAGGTAATTTTGTTTTCAAGGAAAATACATTTGTTAGCAAAATCTGTATTTTTACACAGATTACCATTTTTGCAGCAGTTAACCTCCCAAGTACTACTTTTTCAAATTGGTCATTAGAAATCAACATGTATTTTTTATTTATGTATTTCATATGGGGGACAACATTCTATTTCACAAGGTGCTTGTATCAATTGTTGTACACAACCTCATTGCAATATGGAATCTTTTAATTCTTAACTGTGCATTGGAAATGCAGCTCATTATCTGCAGGTACGGTTTTACTGCAGTGTAAAATAAGAGCAATAAACACAATTTGCTACTATATATATGTCTGCATAAACAAAATCGACTGCAATTTGTTAGTTTTAAATTTCAAGTGTTGTGTCAAACAAATTCAGATAATTTTTGGTCATTGATCTAGGAGCAAACTAGATGCATGTTGATCACACTACAGTTTGATGGGTTTTTTTCTGTTAACGATAGGGTACTGTGGGTAGCAAACTTACCTTTTCTTTTCTGTGCTCTCTTGAAGCGATCAAGTGTGGTACTCTTAGTCAATTCCTTCAGCACTGCTTGCGGGAAAATGGACGGAGTGTAATCTGGGTATGCGGGGTTGTTGTTCTTCTTTCCTGTTCAAGGAGCAAAGTGACAAAATCTAAAGATTCCCACTGAGTAGCTCCAAGCCAGCTGGAGCCATTTCTCTCTCCTTTCTGGCTCAGTTGCCTCGCTAGGGATCATGTAAAAGGATAGGTCACTCCTTTTTACGCTGTTGTTGGTACAACCAACAATACAACAGTTTTTCGGCATGTTTTGTAACGCTCGTTTGTCTTTCGCTTCGTGTTGCTTAATGGCGGGCGCTGGTTTGTTTTACCCTTCGCCGCGTTGCTATGCGCGCGCAGTGCATTATGGGAGTCCAAGTTCCCGGATGTCCGACCTCGAGAATTATGTTCAAATAAACATGAAATATAACCAAAAGTAAGAATAAGTAGTCAAACTGTATATATGTTTAAAATATATATTGTCGTTTCTTACCTTGTCATGCTAATATTCTGGGGCAAATCACGTCTAATCCACACATGTTTGCATTTGTTTTGTTCGTTAGGGTCTAGAGAATAATTATATCCAGTTGTTTTTTCTTCAAAGTCATCCTTATAGTAGATATCCACTTGCAACAACATATTTGAGTATTGAAAGTTGCACAAACAAAAACAAAACCTGTTCTTTGCGCACTGTATGAAGAGGACATTTTACTGTTTAGCTAGCGTCACTGGGTAAGTTCGTCTTCCTCACAGTCTTCCCTTCAAAACAAGCCCATTCCCGGACTTTTCAGTGCTATGGTTTGGAAGGTAGAGTAAGTTGAGTAAAACAAGCGCACCTAGATTTAGCGCTCCATTCACATAGATATCTGTGCGTCATGACAGCATTGTCTTGACTACCATTGGCCGATTTGGATGTCAATCAAATCATCTTGTAGCCAATAATCTCAAGTTTCAGGCGATGTGTCGGACTTCTAGGTTCCTCCCACTGTTCCCGTCATATTTGAATGCGTAAAGAGGAAGACGGAGCCTTTTTCACGGAGAACACGCGCTATAACTATATAAATAATAGCTTTTCTGCAAACATTTCAATATCTGGAAAAAATGCTATTTATAGCAAGAGTAATAGCCAAAAAATTATATAAATGGATTTTTGGTGTAAAAACATTGATAATTTGCATGTAAAACACTTTTGCACAGTTGGCACAAAAATGGACCAAAAGCCCCCAGCATCAAAATAGTTCCACCTAAAGGTCTAAAATTTCATACAGGTGTTTCCAACACCACAAACATCTGCTCTGGTGAGTTTGAACATCATACCATAAAGTATGTCTTCAGGAGAACCTTTTGAAATTGCCTTTTTTTTTTCGAGACAAAAAAAACTAACTTTGACTCATGTTTGAGAAGGTGTAGTGCAGACTGTGTCCTTCCTAACAAACTGTAACATACATTTTCAGAAACTAGAAGGTGTTACCTTTCAAATGAGGCATCATAACACAAAATCAGACACAAGATGTCCACACAATAAGCATTTCCATTTGGGTATCATTATTCGAGAAGGAGCAGGCGAAATTAGATGATCCTTAAAGGGTTAAGTTCTTAATGTTTATGGACTTTTTTTTTCTTAGACGCCATATGCTGAATTAAAGACACGGCTTTTAAGCCTGGCCTTGAATGTATAGACTGTTATACCTTTAGTTTTGTTGTAATGGCATGGGAATAACAAATAGTAAGCACTTTTTACTCTTCATACTTGTTGCAACATATTTTTTCCCCTGAAGATTTTATTTCACATGCCAAATCATGCTGTTGTACATTTCATTGTAGCTTTTTTATAAAGCTTAAACTAAATAACTAAATGACAAGTAAATTATCTCATAATTTTTAATGCCTAAAAATAATGCACAATATTTCTTCTTTAAAACATTAAACATTAGTTGCGTTCATATCACTTTACATTACACTGAATGCATACATTGTATTTGCCCATACTGGTTCTTATATTGCATTAAATAACACTCCACTCAAACTGACTCTTGTGTCATTTCGTGATGCTCATACATTCTAGATATTCAGTCAACCTAAACCATTCCTCTTGTTGCACGTCAAATGTCCTCTTCAAATGGCTCTCCTCTCTTAAAAAAAAGTTCCATTTTTACTGTTGTTACCCAATGGAACCAGTGCAGATTTACAGTTGACAATCATGCATCTATTGTGACCCAGAAAGACTAATCCATTTGCCATTTTCTTGGATGAAATCAGAGAATTGATTGGTGTGTTTGTGAGAGCCGGTCATATTGTACCCAGTCTTTGAAATAAAAATGATTGTTTTGGGCAATGCGAGTACAGCTGAATTTATCAGAGCATTGTTTACTAGAATTCATAAAAATGGAAATGCAGTCACAGAATAAGCCCTTTACGAACATGGCTTTTCCCCTAGTGCTCCTTCCCTTGTCTTGTACCCTGCATACATATTCACCTGATCTGCATTTGTACACTTGATTTTGTCTTTGCATTTTAGGTTGTATTATCTAGTAGCGCACACCCTAACCTAACCCTAGGCCAAGTAAATCAATACAATAAAGCAAAGTATTGCAATATTTGCAATATTTCATTATATAATTATCTGTTTCACTGATAATAATCACTCTGAGTTTTATTAATCTAGTCTGTTGCATTTGAAAAGCTTAAGTTATGTGCAGAGAGCTCACCATTCATGTGAGATGTCCCCTATTCAGATGATAACTATGCCTTGGCCTTTAATAAAGTGTTGTGAATGTTCAAGGTTAAAGTTTTTGAACAACCCTCCTAAGTTTTTGCACTGAAATTAATTTTCTTCTTTTCTGTAATATCAGAATAATATGGGGGACATGAGTAGCAATGTATTGCAAAATCGTTTTGCAATACTGTCCACCCCTAGTATTGTCCCTGGTATTACTTGAGTGTAGTTTTAAAACCTTCTTCACCTGACCCACGTGTAAGCAACAGGCTTTGAAACAGTTCGTTTTCTATTGCAGTCTAACCTCCTAAACGCCAAGTTTAAAAAAAAATATAAGTACGATGTCCATCCATCCATCCATTTTCTTCCCCTTAATCAATTTCTGGGTCGGTGGGGGGGGCAGTCAGAGCTGCACCCAGTACACATAGCACCAGTCCCTCACTGATCTTCCTGCAGGTGGTGAGTCCACAGGGGCCTTGATCTTCCAGCGGGGCTTCAGGTAAAGTGGGGTTAAGTGTCTTGCCCAAGGACACAACGACAGTAGTCATCAGTGGGAGTCATGAAGTAGGTCTCGTGGTGGATTTGAACCTACCTCAGGCCCAAAGGTGCCAACAGTACCAACTGAGCTACTGTCGCCCACAAGTACGATGTATTATTATTATTATTAAAATGAAATCTGGTCGGCCTTTCACAGCATACATGTAAACGCGTTTTGTCCAGTCTGTAGGTTTCTTCATTTCAGGCAGTTGATTGGCCTTTTCCTTCTCCTTTGGTCTGCTTCTCTCAGACACACAGCATCAACAATAATGACTATAAACCATCTGACCCACCTGGAGAACTGCAGCTTCAAAGAGACACTCAAACTGCACTGCAAATAACCACCAAATATATGGGTCACGCAATTTCCATTTTGTGGTCAATGATTAGTTGTCTCTGCATCTTTCAGTTCAGGGAATAGACAAAGAGAGTTTTACAGGGACCAGATATAAGATAGTGGTCAAATAAAATCATTACAATTACAATCCAACTTTAGTTGCCAGAATCTTCCTGTCTGTGACACTGAATACAGATGCAAACAATCTGCTAGCTACAATCGGTACAAACTCTTTGAAAAAACACTCATATGTATTATTTATTATATTAAATAAATCAGACAGAACAACTTAGTTGAATAATGTTATTATGAAAAATAAGAGCCAAAAAATGGTACCCAAAAAAACTGGCAACTACAATGAGAGACTCCCTCTACTCTCTGATTGGATAATCTGTTTGAAAATTGTCAACATAACTACTATGACTTTTGTTTAAATAAGAATAAATCCAGTCTAAACTTTTGTTCGGAAAGATTTTAAGAAATTTTTAAGATTTTATTCA